AAAGACAGTTCTAACTCCACCTGCTCCTTGTTGGGCGAGTCTTCCCTGTTAGTCTGGCTCACAGCTCCATGTAATAATCGTGCTGCGTGCTGAATGTGATGCTGTCTTGAAATTTCCTCCATGGGACAAATTTGGTCCATCGCTCTTCTATATCACTCAGATCCTCAGGACACAGGCAGAATACCGCTGGGTGCTAGTCTACCTCCCAATCGAGCCCTGTTCCCCCCACGCTCTGTGGGCAGGGCCTTCCTTCACTGCACAGTTTTTGATATTATGGTCTTCTCCATTTCCACCAGAATCACTCGCTAAACTCTTCTCACAGATTTCCGGAGCTTCTCTCTTCTGTAGCTCCATACTGCTTCAGATTCCTCTAAAAATGAATTTCTAGAGGAATCATTTAGATTCCTGCGAACCACATGGTCAGGCTTGTCACAAGAGCCACATCTTGGCACCAATTTTCAGTGATATTTTTGTCACCATGTTAAATTACTGCCGAGGTCTAGCCTTGGCTCAGGTTCAGGTCCTAAGATGGGGAAAGGGTCTCAGTGCAAGGAAAGTTTCTGACCCACCAAATGGGTTGTACTCAAGTGGCCCCAAGTGGCCCCTAATAGCTCAGGCCATCTTTATTTCTACTTAAACAGCATTTTTCTTATCACAGTTACATGACCAGTTTTATTATTGGCTTCTGTTTTTGACCTTAAGAAATACATCATAATTTAAGGAATACATTGTGATCATTATGAAAGCCCCCATTGTTCCCGTTTATGCTTCCCCAATACACTGTCCTACCCCCCAATATAACCTTTTTCTAGACATAGAGTTCAGCATTTTTTGCAGGCTGAACTAAACATTCAGCCAGACACATCCTGCTCTCATGGCACTGATGTCAGCTGACAGCCACTTGCGGTTACAAAGTTAAAAAATAATAGACATGGGTACCATGCTTTAAGAACAACAATATTCGAACTCAGACAATTCTTTCACGTCTGCAAGATATGCTTTTAACAGTTCCCTTTTCTGCAAGAGGGTCCCATGTCTCAACTTCTCTATAAAAGACAGACTTTGACAAGCACTCTTTCCCCATTCCATGACACCATACTGTGTCCACCAATGTAAGGGACTGTGTATGGTAAAGATTTTGCATTGGCTCCGAGTGTTGTTTTCTCATATGTACCTAATGATCTCTGTTGAGTCAGAAAAGTTCCTAGGATTAGGAGTTGCAGTCAGTAGTTCCAGAGAAAGATTTGAGAAGCTTTAACCCCGTGTTGAATCTCAGGAGAAAATATCTGAAAAAGAACAGAATTGCCAGGAAAAATCACAGCTGTTGCACGTGTGACTGACAAAGTAAAACTAAAAGCCACCCAACAAATCAACAGTATGAGAGAGAAAAGAGCCGGCAAGCTGTATGAATTTTGCAAACTCCTATGTTGTCCCATGGACTACTGGTCCTTGCTAAGTAAGAGTGTTTCCACAGGTACTTTTCCCTGAGGAAACCTGTTGGATAGGTACTCATATACTGACCTGAGACTAGGCTGCATAGCTTCCAAGAGATGACCTGAAAAGCAGCATGTAGCATGCAGCATTTATTTCTGCTCACGGTTTAAGAGGGTACAGTCCATTGTGGTAATGGTGGAATTTACAGTACCTTGAGACTGTGGGAGCGAGAGGATGCTTGTGTCCGTGTCAGGGGGGTCAGGAAACAGAAGGGAAGCTGAAATCTCGGTCAGGGTATTACCCAAGGCCATCTCTCAGTGACCCACTGGGTCAAGTGACCCACTTGACCTCCCCATTGGTCCACAACGTCCCAAACAGTGCCACAAGCTGTGAACTAAATTTTTAGATGCCTGAGCCTTTTGGGGATGAATTTCACATTTAACCTATACTAAGTAGCTCAAGGACAGTGAGAACACTATTATAAGACAGAGATGGAGTCGTCATGAAAGGGGAAGGCTGCTTGTTAGGTAATGGCTTTCCTTCTCCTACAATTATTTTAGCCACGTGAAAGCAGTGTTTTGTGATTAACCTCTCTAGTTCTCTGCTGCTCTGTTTTCTCTGTAACAACAAAAAGGAAGGGCTCACAGGTCTATGACAGATGAAGATGACTGTGAACATATCCTGGGGAATCTAGTAATGTGGGTAATTGAAATGTTGGTCCTTGATCAGAAAGAATGTCCTGAACTGATTCTCAGAGGATACCAGCTCCTCCAGCTAGCTTTGCCCTCAGACGATGGTGGTCTTAGCTTATGTGTCTCAGAGATTTCTTCCAGTCAGGAGGCCCCTGACCAAGGTGCAACTGAGACTTGGTTATATCTATTTCAGTCTTTGGCTTTTGAAATGACACAACTATAGGATATTTTCAGCCTTTGATGGTGCATGGAGGGTGTGAGCTGGTGTGGCAAGTCTTTAAAGGACAATCCCTTTTAAGTGATATGCAGGCTTGGGTACATAAGATCTTGGCCAGACTTCCTTTATCCAGGATAAGATCTCAGCTTCTCTGAGCCATTTTGGGAAGAGGTGTGTGTCAGAGTCAGACTGAGAATAATGATGCCCCGTGGGCTATCTCTTAGAAAAATGCTGTCTTCCTTCAGAGGAATTATCTAATTGTGGGTTCAGCAAGGTGAATGCAAGTGATGAGCGACACATACGACTCCATACCACGTGATGATGATATTTGGCAGCATTAGTGATGGTCCTGTTTAGGTTTTGCTCTTCATGCTGTTTCTTAATCCCTGTGCATACGTTCATTACAGGTATCGGTACTGAAAGAGTCAGCCTGACAACAAAAGGCTGCTTGCATTCCTTTTCAGGTCACGGCGTTCTCAGATTGTACAGAATAACCACAAATAACCATGGGCAGGGATATGAGTAAAAATGCAGATTTTTCACTTTGAAATATATTTTTCACTTTTAAATATATCGTCCATCTAAATCATTTGCAGAGATCACTGACTTTAAAGGAAAGTATTCACTATCATTTTTTAAAAGGCAGAGAAGGGACAGCACAGTGCAGGGAAACTGTACACTTCACACGAGTCTTCAACTGCAGTGCCAACTGGGTAATGGAGGACTGGTGTGCACTCCTTCACACTGCCAGTAGGAGGTGCTGTGAAGGTGCCTGTTGCTGGCTCCAGGGAGAAGCTCTGGGGATTCTCTCTCACCTTTCCTGCCTTTGTCTCTAGTGATCTCTGCATAACATCCCTTTTCCTCAGAGAAGGAAGGAGGTGGGTAGGAACTGAATATAAAAATCCCACCAAGGGGCTGTAGTGATGGCTCAGCCGTCAGACTACTGGCTGCTGTTCCTGAGGACCTGGCTGGATTTCAAGCCCTCAGTGGTAACTTACAACAACTACCCATAACTCCAGTTCCAGGGGGACCTGACACTCTTTCCTGGCTTCCATGGGCACCAGGCACACACATGGTGCACAGACCTACAGGCAGACAAAAGACTCATACACATAAGTAAAAATTTTTTTAAAAAAATCCCATCAAGAATTTCCTTTAAGGTTGGCACTTATCAAATGTCCCTTATCAGTTGCAGTTTATTGAGGGAGTGATTTGATTTGTTAGTAGTACGTGTTTAATGTTCTGAGGATCCAAACACACCTGCGGAAAGAATTCATTGCCCTCCCGAAGACACTGGACATGGCTGAGAGGCATCTCTGTGTTATTTACTCCAGGCGTGCTTCTGAATGCAAGCATATAAGATATAAAGAATCATTTTAATAACACAGTATGCCAATCTTTTTCAGATATAAGTACTAATATGATGAAAATGTTGGGATTAATAAAAATTGTGTGTGAATATATATATACACACACATATATATGTATACACACATATACATATATACAAAAAATTATGCCTAATTCTTATTGCATATCACTTTGGCTGTTGGTTCCATGGCTTTAAGTGCAGTTCTCTCCTTTGGGACAGTCAATTTCATCCTGGCGCTGAGTCAGATTTTGTTCCATTTGCTAAGAGATTAGGACATGGACCCTTGGGGCCTCTCCTGTTCTGTCATCAGGACTCAGTGATGTCATCTTTTGGGAGGTCTAGATGGCATCATTGCTGTCTTCATCCTTGCCAGATTTCTCACTATAAGCTGAGAAGGGAGTGTTACATGAGAAAGAGTGAGCTGTGTGTTTCCCAGTAAGGGCCCCTCCCTTGGTAAAGCAGCTGCACAGTATTGCCTCCTCCATTGATGGGGTCTGTCCCCGGCTAATCAGAGGAGGCTTGCGGCAGGTGGGGGTGGGCCTACTGTGATTGCTTTCAGCAACAGGGTCTATAGGTGGCAGGTCTTGATACGACAATTTACTGGGAGCCTAAATTTGCATTTGTAGCCACTGAATTCTGTGCTAAAGACTCACCCTTGGAACAGAATGTGAGCAAAGGTGTTATAGTAAGGAAAAGAGAGACAGACAGACAAAGATAGATGTAGGGTGGGGTGCAGTGGTGCACTTCCTTTAACCCCAGGAAGCAGGAAGCTGAGGCAGGGAGGTCTCCATGAATCAAGGACAGCCTGGGCTCGCTCCATAGTGAGGTTCAGGCTAGCAAAGCTGCATAGTGAGACCCTATCTGTGCAGGGGAGGGGGTGACAGAGGCAGGGGTGGGGAATGGAGAGAATATCTTTTGAGCTTTCCATACCTGCAAACCAACCTTTCTGCTAAAGGTGGTGAAGTACTGTGTAGTTTCCTATAAGGTGTCTGACAGCTATTCTAACCTGATAACCTCCCAGTTTGCATGGGAATGTTTCTTTGGTGTGGTGCTACTACTCTGTCTTCAGTATGGAGCTCAGAATTGGGCTTCTATAAAGACTGTACAGGTCACCATGATAGTGGTCACATCATGTAAGATTCCTTGCAGCAAGAGCAATCTCACAGATCATGGTTCAGGTGTGACGTGAGGAATCTCACGGCCAACTCCTGCTGCTGTTTGATTTGAGACCCTGTGCCAGTAGGGTGCAGCTCACTCTGTCTCCTTATTTCATGTTTACATCCAGGTACTCCAAACCGGAACTGAGCAGAAACATAAACTTGTTTTGAAGACAAATTCAACAAGACATGTAGAAAAACCAAAAGATAAAAGTAGAGAAAACAGGTGACATACCTAATGGTTTGGGAGCCAATTTCTTAATTTTGAGAAGCGGAGCACAAAGGTGACAGGTGACAGACATCATAAGTTGTAACTGAATAAATATTTGCTGGTCTTACAGGCAGGAGATGCTATGACAATTGCGTGAGAAGCGGAGATGACTGGATAGGCACGCATTGGATTCTTGAACGTCTTCAGAGCAGAGTTTGATTAGAAAATACAGCACTTCTTTCTTGGTTGACCCCGAGTCATGATATTTTTAGGATATGCTGTAGTTATTAGGTTCATCATGAGATGCAAGCTGGCAGCGGAGGCTAAGAATCAGCATGGAGACCACAGGTGGGTGAGAGGGTCAGTGCGCAGGCTGCGAGTTACTTTCTAAAACGAACCTCCTGTAAAAAGGACTCCCCCAGAGGAACATGAGGCTAGAAACTAAAGTGCAGGTTTTCTCAGGTGAGTGTGTGTGCTTCAATTATTCCAGCACCCAAAAGAGCTATGTCTCTAGAACAAAACCTGCTATGTGTCATGTTGGAGGAGGGTTGGGAAGACGGCTCACCTTTTAACTCGGATATTGTCTGGATTGCGTTTGGTTTATGACCTTGGCTTTGAGGAGCTGTTTGGACAGCCGACGATAGTAATGCTAGTTCTCACGTCCATAATGAAATGTGGAGTGTCTGGCACAGGACTGTCATCAAATAAATATTGCTTGGGCTCTCACGGGTACCTTAAGGCTTTATAATGATAATCATTCTCATTAAAAAATGTAAAACCTTCTAATTGACAAATTAACAGCAGTAGAACACTCTTGTGAGTGGAACGGCAGTGCAACTTGACCCTTGAGTCTTTGCCTATTGAGATTAAAGGCCCTGCAGTAACTCCCGGGCCATCATGCTTCTTCCTTTCATCTCCTCTGGGTCCAATCTTATTGTTAGGAGGCGTTCACAGAGTGGACAGAGATCTCCCGCTGAACTTTAGAAGGCTGGTCTCCAGGATATGTATATGATGATCATATTAATGTCCTATCCCCAAGAATAAGTATGTCTGACCTAAAATGAGCTAAGATGTATATCAAATGAAAATAATTATGTAAGTGTGCCTGTGATGGGAGATTATTTTTGGTAAACTATGCAAATAACATCTGATCCAAAGGATATGTGTTGAGGTATTGCCTGAGTTTGGCAGTAGGAGTAACAAGTATTAATTTATTAATATTTTTCATTCTTTTCTAAAGTGAACATTGCCTTTTAAAAACGCTCTCCAAAGACAGATGTGTGTGTGTGTGTGTGTGTGTGTGTGTGTGTGTCACCTATTATACAAGTAACAAGCACATTTTAAAATCCCCCAGTGGAAGGAGGCACATTACTCCCGATTTCCTGCACACGTCAGGTCCATGGTGCTTTGTGCAGCGATTCTAACAGAAATGTCAGTTGTGTGTATGAAGCATGCCGATGCTATGAGCTAGTACAGAATGGTGCCCTTGCAATCAGCAGCCTCCAGCCTAGTAGGGAAACAGGATAGATGCCCAAAGTGGTGAGGGATGGGTAAAAATATTTGGCGGGTTGCTAAGTTGTACAGTACAAGCGGTGAGCAAGGCTGTTCACCATGCCATGTGGACACAGCATGGGTGTGCAAAGTATAGGAAGGAAGGCTGCATACAGGCGCTGCTGGGAGATGCCTCTGGGTGGTTTTCTTGGGTCTCTCCCCTGAAGAGGAGCTGTTGCCTGTCCTTGGAAAAGACCCTTGGATGAGGACTCGCCGTGTTTTCAGCTTCAATTTTCTCCTTTGACCGTTCTCATTGGCTTTTCAAGAGTGATTGTGTGTAGGTGCACACGCCGTTTGGTTAGAAAATCCTCGAGACTTCTTGTGATAGGCGTCCCTCTGGATGAAACGGCATCAGCCTGACAAGCTTTTTACAGCAAGTACTTCCAGCAGCAAATCAATTTCCCTGTATTAGTGACTGATGTGGGAGGGCCTGGCCTGCTCCAGGTGGCGCAACCCGGAGGTCGGTGGTCCTGAGTTATGTAGGAAAGCAGCGGGGAGCAAGCCACAGCAGCAAGCCAGCCAGCAGCACCCCTCCATGGCCTCTGCTTCAGACTTGCTTTCAGGTGCCTGTCCTGCTTGAGTTCCTGCTCTGACTTCCCACAGTGATAGATTGTTACCTGGAAGTGTAAGATGAGATAAACCCTTGTCCTCAATGTCGTCTTTGGCCATGGCATTTCTCACAGCAGGAGAAACCTACCAAGATGAGCATCTTTACTGTATTCATCGTAATGACTGCCAAGTCCTGAGCAAAATCTTCCGGGGGGGGGGTGGGGGAAATGCAGATGAACTCTTGCCCTTAAACCTGTTAGACTGAAACGAAGGGAGCTCTATGTTCAGGAAAAACAGGAAGAATGCAAACATAAGACATGACGACTATGTGAATTGGTGGAGGCTGTGCAGAGCTGGCGTGTAAATGCTGTGAAGTGTGAAATATTTTTGGGTGTTGTGGGTTCAGGGCTGGCTGAAAACTAGAAGTGAGGTCAGACTTTGCAATCCTTCTGTCCTTCCCCTGAAGTCAAAGAATCCAAGTTGATTAAGACATTTCCTTGAAAATAAGATGTGTATGTTCTGTTGCTGACAAATTATGGCTCATGCGTGGTCCACATAATAGCTCGTGCTTAACTGTATCGGTAAAGTCTCACTGCAACATGGCTGCACTAGTCTGTTTTCGTGTTGTCGTGCGGCTTCTCTGACACTGTCACGACAGGGTTGTGGGGGAGACAGAGACTCCGGAGCCGTGTATAAAGCTGTTTACCATCTGGCCCTCTGTAGACGGTTTGCTGACGGCACCAAAGTGCCTTTTCCTGTAAACAGAAAGTAAACACATGTCGGCAGTAAATACTGACAACTGATTTTCTGGCTTGGGTCTCACAGACTAACAGATTCTAGAGGTTCTGGGTATAAGCTTGTCTCTGCATCTATTCCTAATTATTTTTACTATTTTTGGTTTGAGCACTTAACAGCCAGCTCTTTCTCTGTTGGCATATTCTGCCTCAACTGTTTTAGTGTGTGCACGCGTGTGTGCACTAGCATGTGTGTGTGTGTGTGCTTGCACATCTTTTAAGTAAATGTACAAATCCTTTGCTTGTACTTAATTAGCTAAATAATTCTCCCTTTTGCTCATCTAGGATACTATGTTTTCAAGTAAGATTATGGCACCCCTTTCAATAATCTATATTCTAATTCTTTGCTTATATTTTAATTTAGAATATTAATATGCTAACTCTTTTGAAAAAGGTGCAAAGTATATTTAATGAACCTAACTTGGTTTTGAATAATACACTGGCATATTACATAATTTTGTAGAACAAGCATTTCCTTTTTATTAATTTGATGCCCTTATCTGAGAAAGGGACACTACCTTGTGCATTTTTCTTTAGAAAGAGATTTTAAAGGCAGTTTGAGTTACTTATTTATAAAAATTTTACATTTTTTTTATGTGTGTGCTTGTATCTTGTTAATGCCTGCCGGGTGTAGGTGGGCACCAGTGCAGGTCAGAAGGGGGAACTGAGTCACTGGACTGCGAGTTCCAGACAGTAGCAATCGATCCAGTGTGCGTGAGGGAACTCAGTTTGGGTTCTTTTTAAGTACTCACTGTGAACCACTGAGCCGGCTCTCCAGCCTTCAGCATGTTTTTTAAAACAGTAAATTCCTGAGTTTCCCCAATTCTGGTAAAATGATTCATGGGAAACCCATTCTTTAGCAATGCATCACTATTTACAAACATTTGGTTTATAATTTGTGTTTTCACATTTTCACCATTAGTTTGATTCTCAAATATGTAGAGTTTGCTTTTATCTCTTGAGAAGTTTGAGAAGTCAGATGAGGAGGAGATAATCATGTTTATCTGATGGCGAAACCTGAAATGAAATTCCTCCCTCCCCCTTCTTTGAGATGGGCTCACTATGTAGCCTCTGCTAGCCTGGAGCTTACTGTGTAGCCCAGGAGGGCCTCAGACTCATGGAGACTCACCTGCTTCAGGCTCCCAAGTGTTGGGATTAAAGGTGTGTACTCCCATGCCTGGCAATTTCTCCTTTAAGGAACATATCATTACATAGGGTTTCCGTTATGACATTCTAATGTATAACAACATGGCTTTCTCTGGTGCACCCCAATATTCATTCTTGTCTCCCTGGCTCCTCTAGTTGGTCCCTTCTACTTTCATACATAATATTGAAGTTCCACATTTGGGAGAAAATGTTTTTTGTTTGTACTATTGAACTTAAGTGATGAAGGTCTAGACTGTCCTGTTTTTTTCCAGAATGACACAGATACTGTGATGTAAGATACAGACTGTGTGTGAATAAGACAGATACTGTGATGTAAGATACATACTGTGTGTATATATCAATCAACTTTTATTTACTTCTCTATTTACAGCAAAACTGATTCTGTATCTTGACTACTGTAAATATCGCCACAACAAATGTCTGTATAGGTATTTCTGTGGTATGTTGACTTTGTGAGGTAAATTCTCAAGAGTGATATAGTTAGCTAGAACAGGCTGTAATTGTGTTTTTAGTGTTCTGAGGCACTTTTGTGCTGATTTCCAGAGTGGCTATTCTAATTTACATTCTTGTATGTTTTTTTTAAGGGTTCTGTTAATCTGTTCTGATCTATCTAGTCATCTCTAGGGGACAGAAAGACACTTAAGGAGGAATAATAGGAAGCAGCCGTGAAGTTCCTCATCAGCTCTAACGCCAACACAGTCTGCTTCAGAGGCCTGAGGGAAGATAGCGATGGGCGCTACTGCAGAAGTGACTGCAGTCTCCAGCTTTGCCTTGTGGAGAAGCCTCTAGGGTTGAGTTTACTGGATTCTAGGATCTCACTGCTCAGACATAGTTGGAAACTGACCCACATTCAACACCCCCTGGGAGTTGCTTGGCAATGTATCATTTTAGGCCCTATCTCAGATCTGTGGGACTTAACTCTGGCTTATCAAAATTCTCACAGAATTCACAAGCACATTAGAATTTTGGGAAGTTCCAGCTCAGGACATTAGTTTCCCAGAATGGGTCAATG